GAGTTGTGTAGTGGGGTGCGAAGGACACAACATTAAGGTAATAACTGAGACTCCGCCCCGGATTTGAAGGGGAAGGAATCACCATGATGGGTGGCGCTTGTCTTGCACTTTTCTCTATCAGATATTATGATTTCAAAAATGGGATTCCGAAAAAAATTAAAAGTTTTTGCCCGCAAAAGACTATACCCGCACTCAGAGGGCTTGCACTATCGACGTCATGTATTTTGTCGATATGGTTGTCACACGCGGGTAGATCGTCTGTATTGGCGGTCAAACTTTTTTCTTTTCGAGAATCCATCATTTTTAAATAAATCATTACAGCGACCGCTTCTATTGGAAATTGGAAATCAATGAACAAAGCGATGACTTTGCATCTGAAGCACCGAACGGCACCTATTCTGAATACCGATAGAAAATCATCTGTTCGTTGAGGTTTTAATTGAGAAGTGGAGACATATTCCGTAGAAACCCCACACCTGACTAGAGCGATGCACAGACCCCATGATTCCCAAGAGATCGCAGGCTCGGACCAGCAGATGGTATAATATATAAGCTCTGGCAGAGAATAAGAATAGCTTTTTTTTTGATACTGCGGAAGACGGAAAATATTTATCAGTGACGAAATTCAAAAGCAAAGCCAATTACCAAGAAATCATTGTCAAAGCACTCCCAAGACGACGAACCATACAACGTTCCCGCTTCTATGGTTCAGCAACGCCCTATCTAGCTGTCCTGTTCTTCGACGATTCAGACAACAGATCGCTAAGTGTAATATTTGTGAAAAGCAAGGAAGGATTCAATAACTTTGCCCGCAGGAAAGGAGAGGTGAGTGGAAGTCAGACCGATGACGCGTCCATGCACATGACAGGAGGTTCCGCGTTGTGGCAAGTGCTTGAACAAAAGTGCAATATGCGAGATGCTTGTCCCGTTTAAATGACGCGTTATTGAGCATCATCGTCGCGTCAACGAGCGCGTGGTCTCAACAAAAGCCGACGGTGGCTGTGCAGCTCGTGAGGACCGCCGCCGGCCAATGACAAACATCCGCAATCTTTTCATCCGACTACCACCATGTCGCTTCTTTCTCTTCCTCGACAGGCGACCATCGCCGCTGTTCAACATTTACGGCTCACGACGCATTTCTCAAGAATGATTACGATCAGTTTTGAGCCGGACCCTGACTGCCCGGGATGAAAATGGTTGGGGAGGATTGGCTAGAGGCTGAGTTGGATGGCGACAGGCTCAAGGTACGGCGTGAAAATTCAGCGTTCCTGACCCTCGAATTGAGTAAATGGATTAGGATCGCTCTTTGATGACGCGCAGTAACACAGCAAATAACGTAGATGGCTTTACTGTAACGAATTCCGTTCAAATCGCTATTCCTAGGGGGTCGTAGAACGCTGGCATCCTGTGGTCTGTACGTTTGCCTTGTATTCGCGAATGTTACTCCAAAACAACATCAGGCGAATTATCATTGTCTGTATGCAGGCCTGAAGCGATATTGGGACGGATATCGAGAACTAAGTATCCTCGCCGCGTTCTCTGTGTTACGTGCCTTAACAAGGTGTGCCCATCTGTAGTTTTCTTCGGTCGTACGCTGAGCGATTTATCCAGGATCATGGAACGTTCTTTGTACTAGTGCTATAAACGCAGCGAAGGTAACGGCTACTATTAGACGGAAATGAGGTGTGTCTGTCTCTCAAGGAGATGTCTCTGCTTTAATGAAGTTAATCTAGAACTTGTTACTTTCGTCTCGTAGGCAGAATGTGCAATTCTACACTGTGCGTTGCGTTGAGCCACGCCTACTCTTCGCGTCAGAACATCACGCCAATGGAATTCTCGCTCTTCGATATTCGTTCTGTCTCTTCTTGAAGCAGCTGCGACTTACTCGGCGTCTACAGCAAAGATATGCAGAGAGGGCTCGGCAACCGCATTAGGCTGGCTAGGCATGGTGAGCTATATTCCGATAAATCTCTGATTTAAATTGTCTTATAATGGAAAATAGCGATGAAAAGTGTGGCTAGCTTCAGAATATGTCGTTCTGCCATCTGCATTGTCGTTTGCGTACTGTAGCTAGTATAAAAAGTACGTGCATCACTGCTTTCTGGGATCTTCCGTCGATTTACAGAGGATCGTATAGGTGTTCCCTCGCTTGCGTTGATAGCATTCACTGCGGTTCAGTGCATGTACTACAACCTCTACGGCAACAGACGGAGACTATAACTTTCCTGCACTGCCAAGTGTAATGTGGTCTCACCATTGTCGGCGCCCAGGAGTACTGTGGTACCTGCTTTTGTGCAAGTCGGCAGGAAATGCGTGCAGGTAAGGTGACGTAACCGACAATATTATTTACCAAACTCATACGGTACTTAACTCCAGCAGAGTTCCCGTTATTCGTCACTTTTCTATGACACGTCCTTTCGCGTCAATGAGCGTGCAGTCATCAACGAAGGCCGACGGTGGCTGTGCAATTCGTGGGGAGCCTGCACCGGTGCCGACCAATGACAAACATCCATAATCTTTGCGTAACGGCATGGGGCCACTCTTGTCGTTTATTTCTCTTTCTCGACCGACGATCGTTGTTGCTATTTTACCTTCCAAATTCAAGATACTTTCCATAAAACCAGCCGACGGGAGCTAGAGCCTGACTGTCTAGGATGAAAATAGTCGAGTGAGGGGCACAACTTGGAAGGGTCAGAAACGATGCAGGATTATACTGTCGGTTGATATCTGGCTTTGAAAGGCTCAAGGTACGACATTCAATTCAGCTATCCTGAGCCTCGAACCGATTAATTTGATTAGAATCGTTATTCGATGGTGGTGAGAAGGATTTATTCCAATCCAAGCAGTATATGGCATCCCGGTCTCCCCAAGGAAACTTTCTTCGCACCGAAATCTGCACAGCGTTCTCTGTCACGGTCAGACCGCAAGCCGTTGCTGCCTATAACCATACTGTGTCATGCGTTACCAGAACTCCGCTTCCGATTTCGCTGCTAGTCTGCGTTTTGGCTCATGGACCGCGTTCCGCTAGAAGGTATCTATTTTTGTGCAAGGTCCCAGATTATACCGAGAAAGATTGGAAAAGGCGGCCAGTGTGAGCTCAGGTGAGTGAAATCTCGCGATTGTATTGGTATCAGGTCTACCGAAACCTAGCAATCCTTGGTTGTTATCTGCTGGTCAACACAACAAGTAAAATAATTTCTACATTCCCGGAAGTCGTAGTTGACGACTAGTATCCTAGCAACGTTCTCAAGGCTACGCACATTTCTCACGTATAGCGTTTTTCCATCATTCTGGGTCGTGCATTGATGGGTTTATCCAGGACTATGGATCGTTCTCCAATGCGTGCGAGTTTTGCGAGTGGCTTACAGCGATAGTCATTGTTAGCTGGAAATGAGGTGCGCATGTCGCTCAAGAAGAAGTCTCTTCTTTACCGAATTCTATCCAGAATTTGGTCGCTTTTGTCCCATTGGCAGAACGTAAAAATTTTCACAGTACATTGCGATATGATAAGCCATGGCCGCCGTTCGCGTCGTACCACCATATCAATGGCAGTCTCAATCCCTTTGGCGCAGAGGGCTACGCAGCTAAGCAGGCCTGGTGTGTGCGTTTCTAGTGAATCCGTGGTTTAAATCATTTCATAAGATCAAACAGTAGTAAATGTTGTGGCCAACTTCAAAGATGCCTTTACACCAGCTGCATGGTTGTTGGTGTACCACGGTCTGTCTAACAAGTATGTGTATTACTGTCGTCCGGGGGTCCGGTTGGTTTACTAAGGATCATTTGCTTGAGGTAGATGGTCGCACTTTGGTACTGCTACGTCAACGGACGGAGGCTGTATAGCAAAGTCGGTTCCCTGCCACCAAGTGCGAATGTTCTCGTCATTATAGGCATCTGCCGGTTTTGTGGTGCTTGTTTCTGTGGTACGGGATGTGCACGAAGGCACGTAATACAGTTGACACTGCTATTTGCGCGGGCTCACAGTCTAGTTCACTCCAGCTGCGCTGTCTGGATATAACGGACGGGCGAGGATTCCTCTTGTAGGAGGTGCGACACACTTCCGCGGTGATCCTTGGCGCTTAGCGCTCGTATTCTATATATGTTCTGAGCATCAATTCGTGACTCTGTCATGTGGCGAGGTCTGTATATGAGAGGCACATTGCTGAAACACAGGATATGAATAATCGTTGGCAGACAATGCAGTAAGCCGCAAATGGTCAAAGGTAAAAGCGATCCAAAAATAGAAAGGGGATCACTCTTCGCCTCCGCAGCTCTTTGGATCGAATCACGATGAACTCACTCTATTTTTGACTTTCCGGAGTATTCTGTGGCTTTTGAATCGGAGAGCCTCCAACTCCCCTTCTCATTGGCTATGTTTGGCGGCAAGGCACAATGTCAAGGCGTGATCGGCGTCTGCGCAGCTGAATCTTTAGACGAAGCCTGAATGCCAATCACAGCAGGACGCTTCCGAAAATGACAAACAGGGAACCACTATTTTTGTCGAACTACCTTGATGGCATAGCTGAGAGCTGAGGATAACCGTTCTCCAGATGGCAGAGACATAGCTCCCTTCACGATTGTTATCCTGAAATCAGACCCCCCACTCCAGTCGTGTCGGACGATTATGCGATGAACTTCGGGTATCGAGGTGAGTAGTGCTGTTTCGTATATGTATATGTGGATACCATCTCTTTTAATTCAGTGCAAAGCAGCCTTCCTTAGCATGAGCATCCTGATCCTAATCATCAATGAATTGCTGCTCTTCCGCGACATAGCCTCGAACCTGTGTTTACAGGGCCCTTTCAATTCTTTCGAGGAACGTATTGTAAATTTACAATATCGACGGTACCGTGCTTATCATTGCTCGAACCCTGATTTGTTTCAAGAAAGAATCCACATCATGATTGGGTCGTGACGTATTAGTATGACTGCTTCATCAAATAAGGCTATGGTTTGCTACCTCGTATCTTCAGAGCAACCTGCTATCCTGGCCATCTTCACCAATGGTACTGAGCGACTTTGAACTGGTACTGGCTCTTAGCAACCTTGTTGGAAGCGCGCTTTCCTCTCTGGGCTCCGGATTTATCATCCTCTGCTACACATTCCTCCCGTTGAAGAAGCATCATCGACACCTACTCATATTGAACTTGGCCATTGCAGGTGAGCCCCAACCTGACCACTGATGCGACCAATGTTTTTAAAAAATGTGTAGATTTTACCAATGCTACGAACAACGTAATATCTGGATCCGTCGTTCTCTCTACTGGTCCTTTATCGCGAACGCCAGTTTGTATTGCAAACGGGTTTATTGAACAACTGTCTACTCAGGTAGCTTCAGATGGCCTGTTTACATATTCGAGACTAAAGCGCGACACGTATGGGCGACTGATACGTCCATCCTGGCGATCTCTATAGTGACCGTCATGATCGTTACCGCATCTCCTGAGTCTTCATGGTCGGAAAAATCGAGTAAAAACAAACGGCGGTTCATCTGTATGATGTGTGGTTGTACCTGGGTGATGCCTATCCTGACAAGTAGGCGGATATCACTTTGTAGTCATCACACACACGACTGACTATCAAATTCTCAGGCTTCATTGCGCTCGGGAAAGGTTACTATACGGCCGTCACTGGTAATTGGTGGTATGAAAATACTTCGCTGCAATTGTAATTCTTATTGATAGATCCTCTTAGCTGGCTGACACCCGAACCTGTCTATGTGCGGTATGTACTGACTCACGGGTGGCGTTCTCTTGTTCATATTCATCGAGATCGGTAAGTCCAAATGATCGTGTCTCTCGAAAAGTTATTCCTGACGTATACGCGACGCAGGCCTGTACACATACTTATACATCTATCTACGGAAGGCGAATCACACTCTTCAGCCTAACTTCAGCACAGAATACCTCTCATTTCAGAACGGACCTCCATGACGGATTCCAAGATCTCAGTGAAACAATCCTCCCGATCGATCCAGATGTACTGAGTACCCTATCAAGAATTCCCTGCGATCAATCTTCAAACGCTCCATGTTGAAACAAAACCGTCTTCACCTCGAACGGTCTTTGCAAGTATTTCCCTTCATTGTCATGACCAGCAGAAGCACATCTCGAAGATGTTGCTTTTGAACGCGTACCCGATTGCATATATTGTTCTGTGGATACCCGGGATCTGTAACCGGCTCGTCGAAGCATCGGGTCACTCATCTAGGGTTCTACAGATCATGCAGGCGTCAACACAGTTTGTAGGGTTTGCAAACGCGTTGACCTATGGGTGGAATGAAAATGTGGCAAGAAACATAACAGAGAAAGTACGGAGAAGGTCGCCGTGACTTCGAATGGTCATGACGTTGGTGTGGGTTGGTATATCTGGCGTTCTTCATCGGTTTTGCCGATATGTATGTCTTATTTCGAGAATGATATCCTATTTCGAGCCTGGTCCTTTAAATTAGTCTCAGTGACTTAGTTAACGGGCAGGCTGAACCGAGGGTCCACGATCCACATACCATTTAGTACAGGAAAATTCGACGGAGTAACACACGTAAACAAATACCATACATATCCACCCCAACCAGCCTTCTTATCGAACCGTCATCATCGATAGTCAACGCCAGACTTCCCTCAGTGCTCAGGTGAGTACACTACACAAAAGGACTTCATTTCAAGTAACCATTCGTACTAGGCCTGCACCTGATGGATCCATCAACCGTTCTTCCGGTGGAAGTCCTCCAAAAAATCTTCAAGCACTACCTATCAGATCGAAAGAGCCCCTGTACAGTCTTTCGATCTCTCCGATGGTCCTTGGGTCCTTGGGAGAGTAAACAGCGCATGGAGAAGCGTCACCGTATCCTCAAAGTTCCTATGGTCCACCATAGTCATCCTCGACATACCATGGCTCGTGTCGCCCTCTGATTCAGGGACCGCCAACATAATCCTCACCGAGATCCTCCAGTCGCTCCGGAGACGCTCCTCTCAGTATCACCCTTTCCGTGCACATTAAAATCGCACATCATCAGCGATTATCTGATTCCGCGTCAAGATCCTTATTCTCACTGCTCTCTACGCAAAGCCATCGCTGGCAATCAATGAATCTAAAAGCCCACACCTCAATCTGGGAAGATTTCATGCAGATATCCCACTCTCCCCTCCACAGCCTTCATGCGATAGTTCCCGATGATTCCACCCTACTGCAGATTCCCAGAATCTGCCCAAATGTCGTAGACCTCACATTACGCGTCCCCAAGCTGGCTAACTACAGAGCCTTCACAGTTTCTCCCGCTCACGTTGAGATGCCTTTCCTACAGCATCTCGACATAAAATCACACCATATCGATTTTCTGGAGGCAATAACCGCTACTCGTCTCCGATCATTGCGGTTTGAAAATTTCTCCGGTCACTCTAGGTCTTGCTCACCTCTCCTCCGTTTCATTGAGCGGTCACAGTGTTCAAACTCCTTGACTGAACTGGACTTGTTTTGGAGCTGCGACTGTCGTGACCTCGTCGCAATGCTTTCCCGTGCATCGTCTCCTCCTTACACCAACTCTAACCAGCGAATCGTCCCTTCTGTGTTGCCGAATCTGCGTACACTTTCATTCCTGAACCCGGAAATTTTGTGCGACACGGACGTTAATCTCATACTCGACATGGTCGAGTCCAGGATTGTCGGACAGCTGAGGCACGTGTGTCTTGGTCTGGTTGATTGGGATGTTATGAGGAAGCTGAAGGGGCGCCTGTCCTTCCTGAATGCCTTTCCGGATGTTGATGTTGAGCTGAGACCGGCGCTATTAGCGGGGGGCGATTACGACGGGGGCAAGGTAGTTCTGATTTGGTCCTGATATACCTTTTCATCGTGGCTCGGCTTTTGACGAACTATGGCATGCTCAATCTACACTATGCGTATATATTCTGATACCTTGACGGTAAAAATATTAGTCTTCTTGATCAATTCTTGATGTATTTAAACGATAATTCGCTCCATGTTACTCACGTAGATTATAGTACAAAACATTCCAAGTAAATGATAGCTCTCTGAGTGCTACATTGTACGGGGATAGTTAGCCCCTAAATCCATGACGCCTTTTGATTTTTGCATTTGTAGGTGATTAATTAACGATGATTAAACACGGCTGTTGCTCTTGTACATCACGCGATAATGTGCCCAGCGGCACTGTATTCTTGTGGAGATTGCACATACTTCGATGAATCAAAAGAAAATTAGATACGGCGCTTAAAAGACATGACATGGTCATCGTCGAAAACGGAGGAGATATCCAGGACTAACGGAGAGGGAACATGTCTGCGGGTAGGCACTGTCATCCTCCTCCCTTGGCTGCTAGCTTACGAGTTGAGCCACGTCTCGATTTTTTTGACTTTGAGTCAAGTTCACATTCTTAGTAAAGTTATGGTGATTGCGTGATTGCCTTTGAGATTTTCCTTTCTTCAGCAGTAAAGCTTCTCCGACTGATCGATCTCACTCAGCATCCACTTGTCCAACTTCGTTTTTGTATGATCCCAGTCGTAGAAAATAGGGGAAACCAGTATTGATCTTTTTCCCAGGTCGTCGGAATCCATGTTAGAAGCTTCACAGGTAGCATAACGTGATTTTGAGACGAAGGGTGAAGGTGGAATCCGCCAGTAGACTTGCATCATGGGTTCTCCTCAGTGCGTTGACGCGAGCAACCGGTACCGGCGCAAGACCTAACCATTTCAATCTGTGGTTTATCCAAGATTCGTCACACTCAGGGTAATATTACGATATATTGACAGCAAACCCTTTCCTCTTCTGCGGCACCGTGCGGCCTTCATTTTACTTAGATTTTTGTATGGAAAATTAATTGTGTTCTTGTATCTGCGATGCCCTGCGTTTGTAGGCAGCAAATGATGGTTAAATAAGAATGACATTACTGTTCCTGTGCATGCACGGAATAATGATCAAGACGCTCTCGTACAGAGTACAGACACTGGGCCTGTTGTGACTCTTTCCTTGCCCCAAACTCAAGCGTATTGCGAAAGAAAGAAGGAAGGAAATATTCGGTTAGATTAACAACTGCGCCCGCCATTCAAAGAAACTCCCTTTTGCGGAACAATGTGGCGAAAAAATAATAACACCCGGGGGACAAAGTAAACACCCTTTCACGTGTGTGCGCGCGCGTTGAAATTCAAACGGTCACGCCTCCGGGTCGAGAACAGAGTCTTTGTTTATCTTCACACTTGTCTCTCTTATTTTCGACTTGTCTTCCAATAGCTTGTCTGACTATGGCGAGGACAAAAAAGGCTTACCACCCCCCACTTCCTCATATCCCAGAGCTCATCCGTTTCGGCCACTCTCACGATACCGAGTATCCCACCCTCGGGGAGCTCACCGGGGAGGACCTCCTCATGCTAGATGAGTTCGAGAGAATCCGCAAGGAGGCGGAGGATAAGGTTCGGATGCGCGTTACGGAGATGTTGACGGAGGAGGAAACCTTCTCGAGACGCGAGTTGTTGGAATTCGCGAAGAGGCGGGGGATTGATGTTAATGCGGGAGGGGGGACGAGGAGGACGAAGGCGATTAGGGAGAGGGAGAGAGAAAGGTGAGTGGATTAGGGAGGCTTTTTTGGGGGTGGCTGATTTTTGTGTTGCGGTAGGGAGCAACGCGAGGCTTTGGAGAGGGAATTGAGGGAGGAAGAGGTGCCTAAGAGGGTGGTGAAGAAGAAGAAAGGCAGGGCTAGGTCTTCGGGACCGCGATGGGTTACCTCGAGGTATGTCTGTAGAATGTTCATATATTAAGGTTGACTGACGTTCTGGGATAGGGACGAATCAGAGCCTGACGACGAAGAACATGACGCCTGGCAGCGAGGGCAGAATATCGAGTGGGTTTTTCGTTCTTGACTTTCTGACAAGGATTAAAATTTTCCCACTAGAGCACAAGAGCTGCATCAGAAACGAGGAAGGAAAATCGAGGTCTCGCCATTGACCGAGACGATCGGTGATAATTCAGTCACGGAAAAGCCCTCGACCCGAACAAGCGAAGTTGCTCCCGATGAAGAAGAGCATCAAACCTGGCAAGAAGAGCAGAATATCGAGTGGGTTCTTTTTTCTGGACGTCTTTCTGACAAGGGTTAACGTTCCCCTATTAGAGTCAACGAGCCACCGCAGAAACGAGCAAAGAGGTTCGAGGCCCTGCGACGAACCGAGGAAATCAATGAAACCGTCGTGGAGAAGCCCTTGAAACGATCTAGCACGAAAAACAAAGAAACAGCAGATCTTATCAAACCTGTTGTAGTTTCGTACGTTCGAATTTCGTTGACGCGTTAAAACAATACCTGATAACCCGTTTAATAGAAAACCGGCTATCGATGAGCAACCTCCGAAACGCGCAAAGAGATATGACGTCTTATTGACTCAAAAGATAGCTGAGAGTTCCATCAGGGGGACCCTCACGACTCGGTCCAGCACCGAGGAGGAAGCAGAAGGTGCCGAGGTCGTTGGGTATGTTCCCAGTCCGTCGACGATTCAAAATGACCACTGACAGATAACCCATAACACAGCACACCATCCCCAGGTCCGAGTCGGCCGGTGAAGCCCCTCCCTAAACGCGCCAAACTCGTACCTATCGATAACGAACCGGAGGACTCCATCCGAGTCGATGGGAACATAAAAATCAAGGAAACACCCCAGCGAAAACGCTTCATCGCCTCCCTCTCCCAAAAACCCATCCTTTACAAACCGGATGGTACGAAACGCAATTTGAATGCGGATCAGAGGCAGCGGTTCCTCGAGGAAGATGAATGGACAGGGGAGGTGAAGAAATATTCCGTAGAGTGTAAGGCGTGTGGGTGTTTCCCTGTCATGGATTCGAGAACTCCGTATGGGTACGATCCGAGTATATGGATGAGGCATAGAACGCGATGTCATGAAATGTATGCTGCTTGGCTAAAGAGAAACGGGGAGCGGGATGAGGTTTTTGAGAGGAGTTTTAGGATGTGAGGGAGATCTGGGGAGGCGGAGTATAATAATAATGGTATACGCTAGACTGAATGCCCTAAAATCGCATTTGCTGGCCATTGTCGGAAAGAAGCGGGACTCGGAGTTGCCATATCGAGAGTGATAGGATTTGGTGTTGTTAGGTTCAGAAGACGCCCCGTCATCAACCCGTCATCTTCACCATTGCCTGGCGCCATCAGGCTGCTTACTGCTCTCTTCCGCCAACACCGGTCTGACAAGACAATGTCTGAGCTATCGTTCTTCGTGCTTTCCTCACGCCCGGTGTGTTGAGATAAGCGGTAATTCTCCAGCCGCTCACCCGGATATATCATGTAGCAGGGAACCCTCGCAAACAGGCGAGGGTTATCGTTGTTCGTCTAGCTATTTATCTACACTGTACACCTAATAGAAGTAATACTATGTAGTAAACAAGGCCGAGGAGAAGAACAAGCTTCCTTGCCTGACAACCGAAGATCCCGACGGCAACTGCACTGCGATGCGCGACACTTGATACTCCAACACGATGTACCTTGAAATCCATACCGCTAGGATCGACCGCATTCTGCCAGAAGGTACCTGTTCTATGCGCTAGCCTGTACTGAGAACATATGTTCCGATGTGTTAATAGTTAGTTGAATCGTGTGACTAAACTTCCATTAAATCCGTACTTGAAAGTCTCTCACAAGATAAAAGAACAAATAACGCGTTCACTGGACAGATTCACAGGAATGACTTCCCGTCAGTAGGCTGATGCCCGTCTGCAGCAGATATCGCTACTCTGGCCTCGCTGTGATATCCTGCACTGCCTTCAAATTGTATTCATATTCTTTAGTTCGTTTACGTCGGAAGATATAGGAAGGCTTACGGAGAAGTGAACGGGAGCTGGTATTAACAGGAGAGGGGGACCCTGGTGTATACCTCTTCACCGTAAGCTTGGATTTTGAATAAATGGGGGCTTCTCCACCGTAAACCCCGAGTACATACCGAAAGCTGTCAATGCCGGAGACGAGGAATCAAGAATAACGTCACCAATGGCTTCAAGATAGAATATGCACTCGCTAAATAAAGCAGGAGGATTCAAAGGAGGTGATTTAATAACGAAGGAAATCGCCAGGACCTGACATACGGAAAGCGCAAAGTAACCGAAACCGAAACTATATATGAGGTATGTAAGCGGTCCATTGTACTGTATGAAAAGCTAGCTGTGGCAGCGAACGTAGCTGTGTAAAAGCGAGGACGATAAGTATAATCCGCCCAACGATGTATGCGAGGATGCCACCAAAAAATAATGCAGTGAAACAGAGCTCCCAAACAGAATCGCCCATCAACCAATATGGAAGTAGTCGTGGTAGCTTCGATATCCACTTGGGACAATACCCCTCAACAATGAAAATAACAACAACTGCTGCAAGGAGTCCAATCATGACTGACACAGATGAAAATCGCCACAGTAGCATTTCCGTGTGGGATGGAAAGTAGAATGACCAAGCCATGCAATGGAATGCCCCGAATAATGATCCTACACAAACCCCTATCACAAAGGGTATCAGCGTCTGTTCAGGGCAACCCGAGGACAATAGCAGGGCACCATCTCCAATGTTGTTACGGCCTTCTATCGGTGCGAAAATGAAAGTCCGTGCCACATTGTAAACCCAGACCAACGCGTCCTTTACCCCGCCTATCGAAAAGTCGGCGGAGGAAGCCATTGGGGAAGCAGATTCTTTGTGACTTTTAGTTGCCAACGTTCGCATGAATTCGCTTGAATTCAACGGATCCAAAGATATATGGTAGTTAACGTTGAGTGGTTTGTGCCACCACAAGCAGTAAGTCATGATGCTGAGGCCGGCAAATGCGAGTGCTGCCATTTCAAGGAGTGTGATCGGGAGATGCTGAACGGATCGAGCGAGGCATTGCATCATGAACCAGGATATTTGGAGGATAGATATAATTTTGGACAGTGCATCTCGTTTGCTTTTGTCCTCGATGGTCTCTGCACTGATCGCCGCTAGGGTTCTGGCTAGCCTTGGTTCCGATTCAAGCGCACGGACATCAACAAGTACTCCTTTGATGTTCTCAGTTTCAAGACTACTGTCGGATAGGAGTGGAGTGTCAGAGTCGGTGGTACATTCCAACAAGTCTTCGTAAACTGATGTAGGCATGTCGGTGTAGTAGAACCCCCCCATGCTGAGAAAAAAACCATGAGAGAGTGTCGGCTTTGATTTGTTTGTTTTCTCTCTCCAAGCATGGATAATAGATGCAATAGAGATTTTCTCTCCTGTTGATCTCCACTGTAAGTTCAGACAGTTCCTGATAATATGAAGTACCCACCGTGACGCACCCTCCAAGCAACCATAAACTGCTCTGCAGCCCATCCAACGATGATCTCTGGTGCAAGAATTGCGATAATCATGAGCCTCGCGCGTTCAATACTGCAGGAAATTGCTCCCTTGGTCGTGGTGTTACGACCTGGGACGTTGGGATGTATGGCAAGCCAAGTGCATGTGAATATTGTTGCGAGGCAGCTCCATACAATATTCGACACTGTTCGTCGATCTTCAGAAGATACAGGTAGGTCTTGGTTGTCCTCTGGAGATATGGGTGCTCCAAAGGCATGAGAGGTGAGAAGGACAATTTGAAGGACAAATATTAAAATTCGGTTCATGGTAGTAATTCGACACACCTGGGGAAATCATTAAACCAAAAGACGACATCTGAAAGATTGGGACGAACCCACTTTATATTGACAGAAGGAACAGAGCCCGAGAAATTAGTTGTCCCTACTTGAGTTCTGCACACATGTTAGATTACTGATCGGCGAATATATTACTCAAAAATACATACCAAAAATCCAGGTGGATGATTACTTTCATGAGCTTGAGAATGCGAGGTCCTTTGTCGAACGTTAGCTGAATCAATAAATGATATGGAAAGATGCACATACAATGAATGTAATAAATGTGTCACGGAGACAGCTCAAGGGAAATATCGTGGAGAATCGGACGGTGGTTGTTATACTATGGGAGAGCAAGCCGTAATGCCCTTTTATCACATGTGCATACCGCAGCAATTACAGCCGGCCATGACTTTGCATCTTTCCTGGATTATCGCTATACCGATCTAATCAGTGTCTTAAAATTAAAGGCTGTTTGTGTCGACCGCAGAACAGAGATTAGCGCCTGGTTTACAGATCAACTCGTCTACTGGTGGACCGAGATCCTCACGGGGATTTGATGCACAGCCTGTTCAAAGACCCGTTTCAGTGATAGAATCATCACATCCTTTGAATCTATAGTCTAAGAGTTTCATGATGCAAAAAGAACCGAGTCATGGTTGTTGGTCACCCAACACCGTCATTGCGTCATTACGTGGGAGGCATATACTGAAGCTATGATCTTTTCTTTCCTTTCATGGAAGCATGAACCCGACAACAAGCCATTTTGGCAACAAGTGTCGTCGCGTCCGCGTATTTGATTTGCCGAGACTCAAAACATGTGATCACCAATAGGAAACGGCAAACGATCCACTTGAACACTTTGTTAAAGTGAGCTCGCGAGTCTTAGCCTCAGGCTATATCAACGCATGGTCATTACCACTTTAGCGGCTCTGAGACACGACGAGCCAAATCGATGTTTGAGGGTCCCCTGAAGATGCGTCCTGGAGGCCGCTTGTGATTCCCATCGGAATCCTAAAGTGCGCGACGCAAAAATGTGTGTATTCATGTTCCGTTTGTATTAGATACATCTCGATACATTACTATCTACAGGAAAAACGGCGATATATACTACGCTAAGCCAGTATTAGAATTGTATCTGGCTCGCAGCAGCACAAACCAGTACATATCAACGCCTTCCCTTAATTATCACCCCTGCGCCACCGCCATACCCACTATGTGTTGGGGCCTCGGGTTCGGCTATCGAGTACATAGCCGTTCCGATCTGCTTTGTCGGCATAGATCGATACCACGCCGAGATGGTAATCGCAGACGTATTTTCCTCGTATCTACCGACATCCAACTTCGTCAAGCAATACCACCTAAAGAACAAAGAAAGAGAACTCACAACCGGAGCCCTGCTGCCTTCTGGTCAGGATTCAAGATGGCATAGAGGAGAAGGAAGCGATATATAACCTTTCGCGGGCCATCGTCAATGTTAAGATGTAAAGAAGCGCAGGAGCTGTGTGTTGAAGATGATTATGGAGAAGAAAGAACGCGCTTGTTTCGGGAGGTGATAAAACGCCTTGATCTTCTTCAGGGTAGGCGTTTGCTGAGAGAGGATTGCCGCCGTTGCGCCATCTAAGAATAACGTCCCTGAAAGCTAGGCGAATACATTTCACACGGAAGTGACGGAACGTACAAGTTTTGACGAACTGATTCATGGCAAGTATCCATCCACAGGCTGGAGGAGATCAGATCTATGAGGTGAATGAAACGAAGTGCTTATTGAATGCTTACCGGCAATCTATTGATCTCCAGCCTCCAGGGAGGGCCTGGGAGGCATTACAAAGATCTACAACAATCAGAAGAATGGACTTATGCAGGATCGCCATCGAGATAAAAAAAACAGAGTTTCAGTCAAGTTTCAGCTACGGTGGAAAACTCCGTAATGCTATATTGCCCTGGCCTACACCAGAATGCTGGATGTACATTTTCATGGTTGATGTCATTGATAATCAATAGAGGAAAGGTGTTTTTTTCACTTAAGAATCATTAGCTTGGTGATTCGTGATCCCCGGGTCTAAGATGAGATGAGTATCAAAGCAACCGTATGACTGTATCCGTCCATTTGTGCTTCAGGAAGACGTCAGCACCGGCCTGTCGGGCAGATAAGCCTCCTATAACAAGATTTGGTATTTGAAGAGGTACAAAAAACAAAGCCCATAGCATTTGTTCCACGTACCCTTGCGTATCAGCCCCTTTCGAACTGTTTCCTGGTACTAAGTCTGAAGAGAGTTGAATCAAGAACATCGCATTGGCAACGCAAAGTTATTGGAAGAATAAGAAAGCCTCATGACGAGTTTCAGTCCCGCGACGTGGACTCTAGCCTATTTCTTCTGTGGACATTGAGCCAGTACGACCGGGAGAGACGTAAGAACACCTGCAATATCCTTTGTAAATGAATGAAAAAATACAGATACAGCGAAAAAGACGCGTACTGGATATCACATCGAGGCCAGGATAATGATGTCCGCTTCAGACGGACAAGAATGTTCTGATAGGAAGATAACCACTGCGAAGTTGTCTGTGTTGTCTGTGTTATGGACTACCATGAACCTATGAGAGACTTTTCAAGGACGGATTCAACGGAAATTCACTCACCCGAGCCAAACCTGCAAGCTTCAGCCTGCAGTTTGAACGTCTTCATTTCGGGAAGTGCGAATAGTAAGACAGATGGCGACAACAAGGTTGATAGGAGTATCATGAATTGTAAAGGTAGATCGTGTATCGAGAAAGGGAAATGAATGACATGGTGGCCGTTGGATGAAAATATTGCAGATGTTTGTCATTAGCCGCCCGGCGCAGCGGCCCTCATGATCCGCACAGCCACCACCGGGTTTCTTAAGACTACGTGCTCATTGACGCGACGATGATGCTAAACAACGCTTCTTCCAAGCATGATGGTGAGCTGAAATATTCATATTTATTTTAATCAGTTGCAGAAATAATGAAATCCTGCCCGCCACGTTCTCATCCACTATTATTTGTATTACTTCCCTAGTTGGCTGCTCCTCTCTGCCATCAACCTGCGGCAATACTATTTTTCTCTAGTAGACACGAAAAATTTCGTGCCTCTTTCATATGTCTGTCACAATGTACTTTTTTTTGAGCTCTCTTGGGCTCATTAGCTCCACTCCTCTTGTCGCAATCATGCTAGTGAACGTTCAATTCTCAGGTCCCTCACACTTCCGGAAATGAATGGAACCATGGAAGTGCGTACCTCCGTTGTGCATAATAATTTCTTCGAATGCATGGATACAAACTGAAACGTAAATATTCGTGATCATCTTTTCCTTTTCCAGCTCTCCTTCTAATGTTTCAAAGGCGTAGTCTCTCCGAGAGGGCAGACAAAAGGAGCGGCAACAAACGAAAGTAAGTTGAAAGAGTACACCGTGACAGCCTTATTAAAGAGCTGCGAGATTTCTGCGAAAGCAGTCACATACACCAAAGAAATCCCGTATAATCGCAGCTCGACAGCAGTGTGAGAAGACTAGAAGCTGTGAGGAGGGAATAATAGAAAAAATAGTGGTCCAGAATGTGACGGGCGAAGGTTCAGCACTGCGGCAATGGCATAAACGAAATATTGATAGTCCAGTCAGTTTTTACGCTTAAATGACGCGTCTTTTAGCACCATCGGGCCGTCGCGTCAATGAACGCAGTCCTAATGCAACTGACAGTGGCTGTGCAATTCACGCCGCGTCGGTGCCGGCCAATGGCAAACATCAACAATCTTTCATCCAACAGCCATCACGTTGCCCGTCTCCCGTCCTCGACTCATGATCGACGCCTCCAATTCACGATACTCTTTTTGGCATTGTTTTCATGGCACATTTTGAGCGGCAAGAGCCTGGCCATTCGTGCGGGCTGGGACGAAGGATGGTGGGAAGAGACACGAAGATTGGCGGCCGTGTCAGATAGCGACGGAGAATACATTGGAAGGCTCAAGGTACGACCCGCTATCCAATTATGCTGAGCCTCTAACTGAGTAAGCTCTCTTAGGCGTATAGCGATGTTGAGAGTCACTCTGATGGAAGGGTGCATACGGGTCCAAGAATGGTGTGGCACTCGTATTTCCGTCCAAGTTCGAAATTTTTCAGTTTACCGAACTTGCATAGTATTATGACGCGTCGCGTAATCGTCGTGTGAACGGGCGCATAGTGCTAAGTAACCCGTCGGTTGCTGTGCAATTCACCAGGCGCGCCGGTGCCGGCCAGTGACAAACATCCGCAGTCCCTTCATTCAACGATCCTCATGTCGTTCATTTCCCTTCCTCGAATCCCGTCTACTTTTCTGATTCGTGATATTCTTCTCGACCTTGTCATCGTGGCCTACCTTGAACAGCAAGAGCACGGCTACTCTCGGACGGATTCAGTTGGAGGGGACACGGCCAGAGCTGAAGGCGGGCGGTTATGTCAGATAGCGACGGAGAATCGTGCTCTTCCTCGATACCCTACGATTGGAAGGCTCAAGGTACGACACACAAATAAGCTATGCTGTGCCTGCAACTTGGTAATTGGCCTTGGGTGCATACCAATGACGTGAGTCGGTTGAGCGCAATTTGGATCAAGGATGTAGACAAGTCCGAGCAGCAGTACGTCTGTTACCCCAAAGGATCGTTTCTTTCTATTGACATCCATGCAGTGTTGCCTGTCAGTCAGATCTTGTATCTCTACCACAAAGGCGGAACATGTTGGGACTGCAAGTCATGGCACACGTTATGAAGATTCAGCTCGCAATCCATGTCGCCACGCCGCGTTTATGCTCATCGACCTCATTCCGCTGAAAAGCACCCTGCTTGTACGGATAAAGAAAACAAAAGGAGGAATACTTACTCTAATGTGTTGCTAGCTAGTTCTGGTGAGTACATTTCCGTTGAATCTGTACTTGAAAAGTCTCCCATATGGTGACAGTATCAAATACTACGGAAAGCGTCACGGTTTCCCTCTTCCTATCAGAACGTTCTTGTCCGTCCACAGCGGATATCGTTATTCTGACCTTGACGTGATATCCGATACGCATCTTCCCCGTTATATTCATATTCTTTGGTTCATTTACAAAGGACAATACAGGTGCTCTTACGTCTCTCTTGATTGTATTGTCACTGGATCTACGGAAGACCACGCCTGGGAACGCTCAGTTCTCACCTGCTGGTGACACACAGGCAAAGGGCTTTCGAAAGTCCCGGAGGCCCTAGAAGGATTTCATTTAGTGATCAGTGCGTGTGCTTCTAGGTCATGATTGTGATATTCTGAAACCGTAACAGGTGAATTACCATCGTCCGCATCGAGCGCTGAGCACTCCAGTTTCATCGTGACGGATAACGAGGATTGGGTTCCTGGTCGCGTTGTCATGGCCACGCGCCTTTTCAAGGTATCGTTTTCTTTCATTATGCCGGGTCGTCCGCTGAGTGGTTTATCTAGGATCGTGATATGTCCAGTGCAATGAGTGTCCTGAACACCAGGGAGATCGTTAGAATGAAACCAGGTACGCCTGTCGTGTAAAGATGTGTCTCTTGCTTACCAAACTTTATCCAGAATTCTGTCGCTTCCATCTCATTGGTAGAATGTGCAAATATACACTGCGTTGCGATCAGCTATGTGCATTTCTCCTGTCATTTCGGCAAGCGCAAAATGAAGATAGGTGCAATCCAAGAGGCCGCAAGCTGGTGTCGTGTCTTGAAGGCTGCGTCCAAGGCAACACTGCAGCTGCAGACGACTCAACAGAAAGGTAGCAGAAAAACGAAACATGACACACCTAGGCGCCCAAGGCTGTTATCCTCAAGATAACATTCCGACAGCGTATCCTTCACGTCTGATTGGGATGCCGAAGTGTCATCCTGTAATGAACTTGCAACTAGAAGATAAACGAGCGACGAGAGAATGTAAGCTCACGGTGCTCATTTGACCGGCGTGGCGGGTAAGTAGAAACGGAGCTCATGGCAAGAGAAAGAAAAGTATTCGGGGACCAGCAGCTATCGGAACCAACAAATGCCGACAACCGAGTCGGGAATCCTGCCGCCCGGGCCGCAGGCTAATCGCGCTCTTTGTCTTGACTGTCATGGCTTCGTGAACTCTGGGGATATTTTCTCCGCCATATATTCTTTCTCCCTTATATTTCTCCATTCTTGAAGAAATCTCTCATAGCAGTTGCGTCAATAGTCACTGTGTAATCAATGGTACGCCCATCTTTAGGATGTAAAGCGTTGTAATTCTAACAGCCCTGTCTAGATCACATATTACAGATGTGCTAGCAGCCCTTTGGCGCCGTACCGATACTCTACCATACATTTAGCACCAATATTGAATCGTGCTGTTATCTGGGTTTGGAAAGCTCTGAGATCTGAGTGCGTTATCTCAATCATACAGCGTTTGACCAATTACTAAGGAGCGGTACGAATGCCCTCTCACGCTTTCTGCTATCGACATACCAATCTTTAGAACTTCGAAACCCACCCAAGGAGAAGCATCGAGGAAGCCAGAACACGATCAAAGTTGGACTTGAGCGCTTGCTCCGGCCGGCAACATAGAATCAAACTCTGACACGTCTTTTTGCATGTATGCTCCCTTTCCGTTGAGAAGTTAAGTCGCTCTCGTATTCGTTTGCCACGCATGCATTTCTCCAGTTTTTAAACCCCTTTTGTCGTATAGTTGTGTGACGTAAGAATCAGGAAAGGGGGGGGGGAGGGGTAAGATTATTAGGTCCAGAGGGTATGACGTTCCGAGTGTGACGTTGAGCTTCTCCAATAATCCCACGACACCGAGGTCGATTCAGGGAGTGTCGGCAAGACTCGATGGTACGACAAGCATTCTGCCAGTGTACGATCGTTTCTCAAGTACTGGAATACTTGATTCGTCGATACCAGTCTCAGCGAGGCAGGAGAGTGACCTCCGGGAGCTTCTCATAATTAGGGTCTACCAGCTCACACTGCGACGAGTCAATCCTTGTGTTTCTGTTTACATGCCGCGAACTTACATAGTTCTGGTGCTCCATCTGTGCTGCATATATTAAGATTTGATTTGGAGACCCTTGTCATGGCAGACTGAGTGTATGAAGCAATGAGGCAACACAATAATACATACAAAACATCATGTCTATTCCACGTACTTCCTCAATCTTAGGAGGGTGATGGGGTTTCAGAGGTATTCACATGGTGGGAAGAAGCAAGGATTGCGGACGAGTGGTACAATGTGCTACACTTACTCATACCAACAACGCATTCTTAATACCACATAGCCGCTCACTCAAGAATAACCTTGCTCGTTGAGTCAATCTGGACAGTTACACCTGAAGCGTATAGGAAGGCTAACACATGGCTCAATACCTTTATACCGAATAGTTTTGATACTGAAAAATCGTGACATATGGATTATTCCAAAATTATAGCTGTCTGTTAGGCATGCGAAACAAGGCTGCCATACGTTAGGAACCTGACGCACGCGTACATCGAGACCACGTCCTACAATGCTGTTATCCCAGTGTATTGATAGGTGCCAGGCGCCATCGTGACAACCCCAAACATGGCCGTGAAAAGATGGTCAGAATAACATCCAAAAATCCCGAGTTGGCACAAGTGAGGAGGCGAGATGTCGTATACTCCCAGGCCATAAAAGTGCTTCTCGCAAAATGTTTCTGAACTAGACCAAGAATGGACTATAATTAGATTGACGCCAGACACATTATACAGTTATTTACCGGTCATTGCAACACCATGGTTCAATGAAACATTTAGCCTCTTGCTCTCCCTCTGTTCATCCTTCATCATCAACTTGTATTACATTGCTAATGTGTATTGTATCTTCATGTTCTGCAGTGATTCTTTATATGTGATGTGAATAATATTCTGAGAAATTGAGGCTTCTGTTCTAAAAATATCTATTTTCTCACAAACTCAAAATCTGTCCCAGCAACGTGTGTCCTCCATCTCATTGTAATCACCCACAAAGGCCTCAACAATGTTGATGACCTTCTGAAGAACCTGTATGACAAGTTTGAGACCAGACAGCCATTATCTGAGGAGTCTAGGGCATAAATAAAAGTGCAGTTCTGTCAAGCCATTGCCTTTGATGGACAGTCTGACAGTCCAATGTGCCTATTATTTCCCCGTTGCCTCCGAATTTTATTTTTCCTCTTGCTCAATTTTTTACTATGCCTGAACGTGCTAAATCAAACTCAAAAAAGTGCCAGATTGCTCGCAAATGCCATGACCAGCTAATGGAAAAGGCAGTCATTGCTTACAAGAATGAGCTTGCCAAATTACCCGGTGCTCCTCGGAAAGGTGCAAGAAAAATCTGCAAAGATTTCGAGGCTGTATATCAGAGGGAGACTGGAAAGGAGATCTCACTTTCTTATAGCACTCTTATCCGCCTAGCCAATGGTGGCAAAATGAAGGCACAATCAAACGCAATGAAGAGCCATCTTTTCCCTGCCGAGGCCGACAATATTGTTGATTTTGTTCTGGCTGTAGCCTCCGAAGGCTTCCCTCTCAGCCACCGACATCTAAAGGAACACATCGATGAAGTATTACAAGCACGACTTGGTCCTGAATTTCCCGGTGTTGGAAAACAGTTCACACAACGCTTTGTCGAGAAGCATTCCGACCGCTTGAAGACGGCATGGTCAATGCCACTCGAAAATAAATGGGGCCGTGCCGTGAACCATACAAACAATGATGCATGGTTTGAATTGCTGGGAGAGGAGTTGAAAGGTGTTGACGAGGACTGCATATATGCAGTTGATGAGATTGGCATCCAGCCATCAGGCGGACAGAGAGAGAGGGTGATTGGTGGACAGAAAGGCAGACGTCAATATCAGCAGCGTGATGGTAGTCGCGAGAACACCACCATTCTCATAACTATTTGTGCTGATGGCACTTCGACCACACCGGCTGTAATCTTCAAGGGACAGGCATACCAAGTCAAATGGCAGCAGGACAATCCCGCCAACGCATCGTGAGTACAAATGAATACATGTTCCTCCTACATATATTAATAGCATTGATAGTCTGGGCTACTCTAAAAAAGGCTGGACCGACGGAGAAATTGGCATCGAATAGATCAAGGATTTTGATCGCCAAACGTCGAGGAAAGCAAATGGCTGTTGCCGCCTCTTACTAGTTGATGGACACAATAGTCATTACACCAGGGGGTTTCTGCAATATGCACGCACTCACAATATCCATGTCCTTTGCTACCCATCTCACATGACACACGTATACCAAGAGCTCGATGTGGTCATATTCAGTCCACTGAAGCTATACTGGAGTGACGAAAGGGATACCTGGGAAAGGGAGAGAGGGGAGAAGGTTGATAAGAGGAACTTTCTGACAGTTTACGGAAAAGCTCACCTCCATGCTCTCACACCCGTGAATATCAAGGCGGCATTCAGAAAGACACAGGCGTATGTCCATTCAACCCGAACATTCTTCCTGAAGAGTCCTTTGCTCCGAGCTGAACCACGTCTTGCGAAAGTCACCTCCCAGTTCCACCTGCCACACCGGTACGCACTGTTGCGAAGCTGCTGCAAAAATTAAGCATCAAGGAAAGCATTGAAGAGGCTGAAGAACCCACTGGTGCCATCGATCATGATACAACTCAAGAATCTCTGCCGGCTTCCTTCGATGAGACATTGAAAGAGCTAAACGAAACGTCACTTGTGTACCTCATCTCCAATGACATTCCACCCCCAAACTCACCACTTGATCTCCGAGCTCGTTCTCTTATCGCAACGTCACACTGTCTTGATGGTGTTCATCCACAAACCGCAACAGAGCTAGAGCTCCTGGCTTCACTACGAGAGGTCCAGGCTGAAGCAGAGGCATTGCGACAGTGCCTGGTGTCCATGCAGGCAGCTAACGTGCTAAATGAGATGTACTGCAAAGTGCTGAGGACCCATCTGGCAAATTACGATAAGAAGAAGCAACAGGCGAAGAAATCTGGAATGCTAGTGGGGGATGGACTGCTATGGTTGTTGTCAAGTGACATGTTCTATGAGCTTGTTTGTGACCATGAAGAGAGGCAGAGGGTGGTGGAGCAAGAGAAGCGAGCTCGTAAAGCTGCTAGGGAAGCTAGATCTGAAGCTCTAGAGGTCTGGAAAAAGCAGGATGAAAAGAGAAAGCAAGCAAACAAGATGAAAACAGCACTTTACCAGACAGCATTGAAGAGATGGCAGGAGCAGAAGGCAGAGGCAAGGTCCAGGGGGGAAAAGTTCACATTAAAGAGACCTGTGAGGGGCCCACTAGCTGGTCCTATACCCAAGCCAGCAGCTACAGCAGTGGAGGATGACAACAACGACGGAGAAGGGGGATCTGATAGTGATCAGAGCGACTCCGAGTAGCTGACCAATGATGCCTGGGTACGTGGGCCGGACCGTTTCAATGACTCAAAATGGTCTAGAATACCCATGCCACAATAATGCTGCAAAAACAGACTTGTACCTGCACCTTCGAGCATCCTTTCTTTACTGTATCTTGTTGTTGCATAGCATTACATATTTCTACATTCAAATATAGCCATAATTCCAAACCAATTGGAACTTACAGCGAATATTCAATTTTGCTGTTTCATTGACCGGTAAATAACTGTACAAAACTTCTAATTGATGTGTTTCCAGGGTGATGAAAAATTCCACATGACACATTCATTTCATGCCTGTATTTGCTGATAATGACTCCTTGTGTGGCTTCAAAGTACTTGCCGTATAACAGAAGTCGACTTTGCATCTTTAATATTCTGCCTTCAACTGCTTCGACGTATTCCATGTCTGTGCTGACGTACGGGATAATTCACTATGCTCTGTATCCATTGGGACCATGTCAACCTTCAGATGTAATTATAGGATGTCACTGTCCTACCCTTGACAGAAATTAAGATGGATATGTCCGACACCTAGTAATACGGCATGGGAATCAATGAAGACACGAATAATGTACATGGCAGACAGTTCCACATGAAAGTAGTGCACAAAACGACTCCTTCGTTATCAATTGCACCATATAGACCGGTTAGTACCGAGGTGGAGCTTTACAAGGCGCCTACTGGTTCAGTTCTGTCTGCGGTCAAGCTTATTGGAATTTGAGCAGGTAGCTAATCTTCCAAGACGAAAATCCACTTCTTGTGAACCCGAAGCTCTGGAGCATTCAATTGCTGCATCAAGAGGTGGATTATTCGACAAGAAAGTGGTCCGAGGTTGAAGGACGGCGCGATCACCATTATGACTGCCTCATTGAATTCTGGATCAACGGAGGTAATCCACACAATTGTAATAAGGCAAGAGGTGCCGATGAAATGTTCAGAACCAGGTTTGAAGCTGCCAGTGCTGCTGATGGATCGAGCAACGGCTAGGGTTTACAAGATCTTAGATCCTGTCGGACGTTCCCAACTTCCCATGCGTAACTGCGTCTACGAGTTTAGCACGTATGACCACATCGGATACAGACCTCATATTCCCCTGGATTTATTGAGAAATACTCAATCGCAGGATATTTCACATGAGTGACCTGTAAAGAGGATTTGTTGGAATACTGGAATGTCGATGTCAGGGGGAAAAAAAAGTAAGGTAAGGGACTCTGCATACTCATGACAACAACGAGGCCCAATAGATTCACCTCCCTGAAGTTCCAGGAGAGCTTTATCAAGGCACAGCAGTAATCGATGCGACTCCAACTGTAAACATGTAACACATTGTGAAACCAAGTTCTAGATTTGAATCCGAACCTATCAGAAATGAGATCCATGTTATCATTCAAACGGAGGAGATGACGTTGAGGAACAAGCTGCGAAGAAGGGATACGGAAATGCTTTGTCATTCATTGGAACAGATCACAATGAGCAAATTATTTATTCTTGTATCGCATCACGGTGACACATGTCGAAGATGTGCCAGCTGCACGTGGCAATCCGGCAATCGGATTAGAGTTGAAGCCATGCAAGAACCTTCGTGTCTCTTCTCCTCAAGTCGTTCGTTCGTCTGCTCACTCAGCAATGAGTCAGACATGGACACTGGTAGGTAGTAGTATATTCTAGAAGTACATACCTTGTAGTATATATACCAGGGATCTTAGCCCCCAATATTCATTGCTTTAGTACCTCCTAACTTAATCTCTCTCATAATGGTCGAGTCTCGCAGTTTACCACTGCGTTTAACACTTTCATTACATCCTATTCTACAACAACACAGAAATTAACATGCCAGAAGGTTGTGTTTAATTACAGTGTATGGCTGGAACTCGGAGTGAGCGAGGTAACACGACGTTTGATATGCCTACAGAGCGTACACACTTGAAAAAGGCATGTAAAATTCAATTTTACAACATTACAAGTTGTATCTCTACCTACACTAGTAAGAAAAGACAAGAAACCGGGAAGTAACCAGCGCAGTAAACCATTGGGACTTAGCCATACAATATCTACGCTTCAGGTGACGAGCCAGTGACCCGATGACTCAGCCTGAGTAACTGAAGGACCAGGCGGGTCGACGCACATGGTACCAGCCGACCCGGCATCACGGCACTGATGGCCGCCGGATGGCATCGGTCCGAAAGTAAGAATAACAAAATAAAGAATGATCATGTACAGCTTTACTTACCTGGCAGCTTCCCTAGTCTCTCAGGTGAACGGTTGGCCTGCCAGGTAGATGATAAACAAGAACCGTAACACCAGGGGCTCTGCCCCGGTACAGGTAAAACTTAGTATCATGAGCCAGGACACCAGGTTGCGGCACAAGATCATGATCGGGTTCACCTGGGAACCGGGATATGAGCTCATATCTGTCAGGAAGTGAGCTCATATCCACCCGGCTCCATCAGCAAGCGCAGTAATAGTACCTGGAAAGATTGGAAATATAGATAGGGTAGAATAGTATAAATATGGTCCATGTAACTAGTGGGAGGTTAGGTTTCTGGCCCCCAGAACGCTACCAAGCAAATTAGTACGGGTTTTGGTTAAGAGCTTCGAGTCCTAGACTCACCTGGAATAGTATTTAGTGACCTGGTCACGTTTTGTGTGCAAGAACCATTCAGAAAGCAGTCAGTGCTGAAAGATACAGAAAGACAGTCAGAAGTACAGTCCAGAATCCATGTTAGTACCAGTAAAACTGCAACCAGGCAGACAGTATCAGTTCAGACACTGCACCAGGCAGTTAGTACGCATTCAGGAAACTGCACCAGGCAGCCCGTTGGTATCAGATTGTGTTCGGTAACACAGAAAGTTCAGATTTGTGTCGTTTCAGACTATTGCAATCAAACAAATTATATTCATTGTCAACCCGGAACTAGTATCCACAGTACAAGTATCGACCTGGTGTAACTTACCCCTTCGAACCGTAATTATTGAGTGTGTTAGGGTGTGTGTGTGTGTAGCACTTCACCTTCCTTAGCATAGTTAGTACCTTTCATGTTGGGCCGTAGAAGTATGCACTATTCATGATTCCGGATGTCAGATGGCGAGCTATAGGATACTGCAATGCAAGAAGGGGCTCACCAGAGAGGACGCATGCATGCCCTGTAAATAAATGGTGGCTGAGAATGTGACGGGGGGAGTTTCAGCATTTCGGCAGGTGCTAAGCGAAATTTTAATATGGATAGTTTATTTAGTCTTCACATTCAAATGACGTGTCGTTCAGTGTCATCGTCACGTCAATGAGCACGTAGTCCCAAAACAACCAAGGGTGGCTGTGCAATTCACGAGGGCCACCAAGCCAGTGCCGGCGAAGGACTTTTCATCTAACAGCCACCATATTGCCCATCTCCTGTCCTCAGCTCATGATCTACCTTCCCAATTCATGATAATCTTCTCAACCTTGTAGTCGTAGTCATGGTCCATCTTGAGCATGAGGAGCCTGGCTATTCGTGCTGCCCAGGATGAAGATGGTTGGCTTGCTGAGCCAAGGATGGATGTAGAATTATCTTGCTCATTGACGGCCTAACCCTTGTGCAAATCAGATAAGCTGAGTCTTGAAATGAGTAAATGTTCCTAGGTGTATACCAATAATGCGAGTCACCTGAGCGCAGTATTGGAGTTACTGTGGCTGTACGAGCCAATGGAATCAACTGGCTCCCTACCCATTACTTACTGTACCTGTAGTCTTCCTTTCTTTACCGTTTACCTCCACGTCGACGTATATAGGCTAAACGAGTTGTTCTTTTCGTTCCCTCCCATCCTCGAATCTCAACATGCAGTCTGGTGGAAGGATGTATATAAGAGTAAGCAGTCTGCAGTGCGTCGGATGCCCCAGAAGATTTTTATATTTCAACTGATATCCATACAACGTTGTCTATCACAGTCAGACCTTTACTTCGACCTCAAAGGCAGAAGATGGCTGAACTGCCATCATGGCCACCCACAACCGTTTCCCGGTGCTATGGCAATTCGTGAAGATTCTGCTCACAATCCATGCCAATAGGCTACCCATTGTTAGATGGAACAAGGTACGCCTGTCATTCAGGAATATGTCTATCCTTTACTGACGTTATCCAGGATTCTTTCGTTTTCATCTCATCGGCAGAATTTCAAGGTACTAATATTAATAGTCAATAATGCGGACGCTTGATTGGGAGAGAGTTGAAGAAAGTGCCTGTTTTCTTTGCCTGAGCTAGTGGGAGGCGATTATGATTGGAACCTGATTTCCCAGCATAAGCTCGGATTTGATGAACTTGAGGATTCTCAGGCTATTCTACGCGCATATCAATTTTGCTGTTGGCAGGAAGTCATCGATCATCCCAGAAAGAACCGATATCCGTGATAGGTTTTGGTGTTATTAGTTTTTCCAAGTCCTATATGTATATATAGATATTGGTCATTACTGTACCTGACCAGGTGACAAATCAGAGGGAGAACTGAATCAGGTAGGAATTTATGGGCTTTCCCCTCGCTTTTGGGCAAGTTCAAGTAGTACACATTTGTCATGTACTTCTTCTGTATATACTCAGAAATAATCAGCCTCTGAGAGTACTAAATGACCTTAATAGAGCCAACACATTCCGACACGATCGACCAATTTCTTAATTGGGTTGCCTTTTTCAGTCACTCAAAACTTTCGCACACCTCTCATGCAGTCCCATCCCATTATTGGCTTCAAAAGAATATACGAATATCATTGAAGATACAATATAAATTATCTCTGCAACTTGAATCACTCTCAATGCTCATAATTCAGCTCAAGGACATGAAACAATGCTTCCTGTCCCAAATAGAGCATGATCTCATTACAGTACAATGCAAGGTCAATTCTGGTCAAAACATGGGCATGGCTGGGGCTGCCAAGGATAATTTTGGGGACTATAGATCATAAACTGACATAAACCTATTTTTCCGGATTTATTTGGTCCCAATCTGGCCACATATAGTCTGGATTTTCTTTTGGTGTGCAAATTTGGCACTATCCTCTTTCTGTCTCTCTACCTGCTTGCACACATAGACCCAACATGTCTGATGGTTAGAACCTTTCATATATACACACAAGAGACTGACTGATTCCATTAACAGCAGCAGATGACACAGTTTCTGAGCCATACAGCTCTCCTCATAAGAAGGCTCCTTGGCATGGGTGGGATAAAGGCTCACCTACTATAGACCCTACAAACAGGTGCGTAATGCCACAAACAGTTTAGATATTCATCTCTGATGTATCCTTAGTGAGCCCTGGCCTGACCCTCCTCAACTACCAGACTGGGATACCGTTATTGTGCCCAATGAAGCACTAACTGATGGATATTATCCATCCACTGCACAATTTGCTCATATCATGCAGAAGCTCATGCTTCTTGGCCCAGAGGATGATGATGATGCAGAAATGCTACAAGCATATGAAGAGATATATGGTACAATGAGCCTGGCTGTAGATCTGCATGGCTTTCAGCTCATCAATGAGGTTTGGAGGCGCATTTTAGTGGAATATTTTCGGATGACAAAGGAAGATGAGATGGGGGAGCTATTTAAGAACATGAAGGGGAGACATGCTAGGGAAGGAAAATGGTTAGATCTTAGCCAATGACCTGCTGCTGTACTCTCTCTCATGCCCACAAAATGCCCTCGCACAGATGACACGTAATAATAAATTAGTTTCTATCACACTTAGTCAGATGTGACTTGATGCAACATCTGCACCACTGTTCACATACCTCGCACACAAACATCCCCCAGACAATGGTCAAAAGCCTCCAGGCAGCCAAGGAGGCTGCTGAAAAAGAGGCCCAGCTTCAGATTGCTCTCAAGGCTGTTATTGACTCTGGTTTGGATGGCAAAGGATGGCCCAAATTGTCACTTCAGGCAGCTGCAAAACAGTACGATGTTAGGTACTCAACACTTACAGCATGATGGAATGGCTGGAAGACACGTACAGAGAGTCACACTGAACAGCAGAAACTGACTCCACCACAGGAGAAGGTATTGGCTGATTGGATCAAGGTGCTGGGCAAACAAGGAATTCCGCTCAGTCTTGAAGCAGTCACAGAACATGCATCACATATTGTTGGGGAAGAGGTCTCGGTTAACTGGGCATGAGGATTTCAGACATGCCATCCAGATCTCAAAGCAAAGTGGACGACTTCTTTGGAATCATGTTGTGCTGAATGCTTGAACCATCCGATGATGAACCATTACTATGACGAATTAGAGACAATTATGAAGGAGTTTGACATTCCACAGGAGAATGTCTACAATATGGATGAGAAGGGGATACAGATGGGGATTGGAAAGTGCACCATGGTTCTTGTGGACTGTGACCAGAGAGGATCCACATACCACATTGAGAATGGGGACTGCAAACTGGTTACAGTCATTGAAACAGTCTGTGCAGATGGGACTGTCCTGCATCCAAGCATCATCTACAAGGGAAAGACGCATGATTTAGCATGGGGTCAGAAGAATCCTTGTAATGCAAGGTGAGTGGATGTCAGCAGAATATGCTATTGGGGCTTACAGCACAAATGACAGTATATCATTCTCTCCGAAGGGCTGGACTGATAACGAGTTAGGCTCAAAATGGCTCGAGAATGATTTCAATCCTGCAACACGTGCATGAAACATATCTGGAAAACATCGGCTTCTCATTCTTGACGGTCATAATTCACACTGCACTTACCAATTCTGCTCATATGCCGAGGCTGCAATGATCATCATCCTATGCCTGGTTGCACATACTACTCATTGGGCACAACCCTTGGATGTGGGTTGTTTTGGACCTTGAGGATCAGCGTGGAAGAAGGAGGTCATGGCAGCATCACGACAATTCATCTGGATCACTAAATATAACCTATTAGAACTCTATGACTGAGCACGAAAAAGGGCATTCCTACCAGATACCATCACCAGTGCTTTCTGCTGTACAGGAATTTGGCCTGTGGATTGCTATGCAATTCCCAAGATCGCATATGAGCCAGCAAAGAATACTACAACATGCAGTGCTCAGCCCATTGCTGCCACACTTCCAACACTTCTTGAACCAATCCTAGAGGAGGACGAGAGCCCTGGAGATGATTCCACAGAACCCGAAATGACACCATCATCGTCACTGGCTCATGCATCTTCTGATCCAACACCCGCATCTCCCCCGCCAAGAACATCATCACCTGTGTCGAATGATTCAGCAAGCATCTCGACAGGTGCAGTCACACCTCCTACCCAAGCCAATAGTGTCCTTTCATTTGAGCCAACAACAAGCTCTGGTGGCGGTTACCGACTAGCCAATTTTCCTGCTCCATTGCCTTGTAATGCATCCAAACAGCAGCTATGGAGTCAGCTTGAGTGCCTTCGAGACATAGCCATACAAGCAAAGGATCAAATGGAGAGTGACTATGCCACAAAGAAGCTAATGGATGGTGAGAATCAGTTGCTAAGACAGCAGCTGTTTCTGAAGAAAAACAAACCCAAAAAGCAGCGTCTAGGAGGTGCGGGTGCTTGCCACATGACTGCACCTGAAATGCTCCAGGCACTGGCCGAGGCTGATTGGAAGGACAATATCAAGGTGCTCCATGAGGAGATGAAAGCACTAGAGCAGTTTCAGGTGTGTCGAGCAGCAGCAGAGAACAGCTGGCAAGAAGTGCTGGATCACCGCAAGCAAATGGCGAAAGAGGTATTACAATTTTACCCCTATTTTCCTTATCTTATCTTATCCTTATATCCCCAGAACCCCAGACCTGCCTATCTTATCTCTCAGACCCATGATATTCTGCTGGCATGTTCCTTACCCGTTTACCCAGTTGCTGTCACCCCAGTTCACAGCTGCCACATCCCGGATGACTGATGGACTGCATGCACCATCATGCTTCTCTTGATGGCATCATGCTTCTTAGTGGTTGGACAGGAGTCGACCGCTAGTCGAGGGCAGTCTATGGGATACAGCCCATTCAGACGGAGTCCCGTGCAGATACAGGTGATATGCGCTCTTTACTCTCATTTGTCGGGAGCACACTTCTTTTAGTGTCCTCACTCCTCATTCATTGACAAGCATGCTTCTCGCTGCATGTGCCCTTGTAGATACTATTATTAGTATGAGTCTAACATGTATTTAAGCTAGCCTATGTTGTGGCCTTAGACCCCAGCTTCGGCTAAGGTTATATACTCCTAACTCTTACAAGCTTCTTGCTTTCACTATAAGTGATGCCTAACTTTCTTGCAATCTACCAATGCCTCTCTAACACTGAATCACCGAACATGAGTGACAGGATAGAGATCAGCCTTGGTTCAGATTAGAGTTAGTGCATAACAATTAGCTGAAGCTTGCCCTTACTACCCTTACCATTGTTAATGGTAACTGTATCACTTCAAGGCAGTCACTGTTATACTTCCAAAGAAAAAGAAATCTTCAGCCCATTATTTGAAAACGGCACCCACCATACCTCGAGACCATAAACACTCGTTGTGGTACAATGAACTTTATGCCTCTCACTCCCCCAGACCACACCGCCATTATCTTCAGAAGTACCTTCAGTATCTTGACACTATCAACTGCAGTCGCAGTTATCCACATTACCTGACCAACCCGATGCCAAAGAGCACCGACCCCCAGAAGAGGGAGAGTACATGGACTCAATGGCTCATCAACAGGAACCTCATGAACAGGAAGCACCATCCGGCTCAGGTCAGTCACACCACAGCCAAGGGGGGAGCGAGACACACTTCGACCTCCCTTATTCGATGGAGAAGACTGAGCCCCTATGCTCAAGCTTCAGAGTGAGGATCAGTGAGATGGTGAAGGCGAAGAATCCCTTCGGGAAGAAGACCTCGGACAACTCAGCATCCCTCCAGACGACGGAGATGACAGAGTCGACCCCAGGTTTACCATCAAGTACTGGACCAATACAGATGGGTCCTGGGGTGCCACAACCTGGGGCGACAACAATGACTCCAGGGAGCTATCAATTTCCTCCACAGAGTTATCAGCAGCCATCCCAAGGTTTGACGATGATGGAGAGCATCTCTATTGAAGAGGAACGAGTGGGTTCTACATCGATGCATTCAACCGAATCGTCCATGGACGAACCAGGTGAAGAACCACCTTCGAAGAAGGTGAAAACCCATTCCTCCCTGCCCAGGACAGAGGAGACATATGGGGAATGGGCAACACAGGAGGACATCGAAGAGATGAATCCCCAGAGCTGGAGTGGCACGACACTCCAACCTCTCTCTTGTCCTACACCCCCAATGGAACCTACAGAGTTGAAGGACCCCCTTCATGGTGGGATGACGATTCCATCCATGAGTCAGACTTTGTCTGGCCATCTCCCTGACCCGAGTCCGAAGTCCTTCCTCGAACCCTTATCACCATTGCTGACCTCAGAGATTTTGCAGAGCCATGTTTCACCCACATCTCAGAAACTTCCACAAACAACACCATCAGAAATGGACCCAACAACGTCGTATTCACCGAGTACTCCGACAGTAATAATGAAGAGCTCCCAGAGTACTACACCCACCCAGGATCCCTGATCAGTGAGGGACAGTGGGTCATTTTTCCAGGAGACACCCCAGAAGGAAACAGGATCCTTGACTGGTTTGCCGGAGACCAACCCCTTCCGGACCCTATCGTCCTCCTGAACTGCATCCCGAGGGAGCTTGACCAGACCCCTCCCCATCTGTACCCCTATTGCAACTGCCCCATCTGTTGCCATCTCAGAGCCCTGGCCACGGTCGAGTACAAGGGAGCAAAGCCCCCTGCCGAGCTTGAACCCTTCCTTGCACCAGAGGGAGGATTCTTACCCGACAGGTACGATGGAGGTTTCCTCCCTCCCTGAGGACTATGGCCCTGAATCTGGAGATGTGAAGATGCCCTGGAGATCTAGGATGAGTACTGCCGATACTTCTGGGGCATATGGCAGTGGAACGATGACTGGTATGCAGGATATATGATATTCTCCAGATACCAGGTCATCGGCTACCTGCCCGACTATGACAACAGGTCAGATCCCTGGACCAGGGCTGGGATGGTCATCGAACAATGGCTCCAGCAGGATGAGCCCAGTAGCCCCCATAGTGGAAGCCCCTCCGATGAACCCCCCGAGTTTGTCCAGGGCTCAAGCACAGGGGCTCACAGCCCGGCAAATATATGATCTAACATGGCAGCAGATGCTAGAATGGACAAGCAGACGATTGCGGTACAATGTAGATTGGACCACGTCTGACCAAGGATGAGCATACAATGCTGCAGAATTAGGTTCTGAACTGGAAGACAGGATACTTCACACTGAAGCATGGTATCATGCCACCATTGATTGGAACAAAATACATCCCGACCACCCCATAGCACCAGGGAGGTGCTACGGTGTGGAATCATCCCCTAACCTGGGAATAGTAGGCCCAGAAAACCCAATTCTGGACGTTACCTGGGCACCTTCCAGCACCTTAGGACTGGAAGCAGCAGGAGGAGGCACCTTCCACACCTGTAGCATGGTCAGAGAAGCCTCACAAACGGCACCAATGGGAAAAACGGGTGGACCAGTGCCTGTGGTTCCTGGAGGAGGTGATGGTGACCCAGGAGGACCAGGAGGAGGTGGAGGAGGACCTCCACCCGTACCACCTCGACCTCCAATGCAACCACCATCACCCCATAGTGATCAAAATCTCTGATCACTACCACGACCTACCAACCCCCCTCTACCCCCTGATCCACCAGATGGATGGGTTATCCCCGATGGACAACCCAACCCTTGGGGAAACGTAAAACCGACGCTGATAGAAGTCCCTGACAAATTCCATGAGAAGGCCAGCGACTTAGATCACTTCTTTAATCACTGCAAATACTACTTTGAGGTCTTTGCCCAATACTTCACACTCAATGAAGCATATGGGTATGGCCTCAGTCAAGTGGTCTTCACAGCCCACCAATTTGGTGAGGAAGCAATGACCTGGTGGGTCCATCAACAATGACACTACAAGGACCCACACAGTGGGAGACATCGCCTTCCCTCCTGGGAAAGTTGTAAAGCCTCAGGAGATAACCCAGCAACACACGTGGAACCAAGTATAAAGGACAACCAGGGAACAGCCACCTCTACCCTAGAGGA